AGAGGGGGTGAGGTGGTGAGGGTGATGTGAGGGTTTTCAGTGAATAGCAGGTGGAACTGTTGAAGCCGGGATGGGGTGAGGTGGCTGAGACACTTGTGTGTGATGAGATCTGACAGTCGGTGAGAAGACTAGACAGTAAGAGAATGTCCTAGGGTGAGCTTGAGGGCCTCCTTAGTAAGTTCTGTGGCAGCCGCCAGGGCTTGCAGACAAGGTTGCCAGCCCTGGACCGTGGGGTCTAACTGCTTGGAGAGATAGGCCACAGCCTGGTATGTGGATCCAACCGGCTGGGCTAGGAGGCCAGTAGCTACCTTTTGGCGCTCCTTGGTGAATAGATGAAAAGGTCGAAGGGGGTTGGGGAGAGAGAGAGCTGGGGCAGAAAGAAGACAGTCCTGAAGCTTCTTGAAAGAGTTGGCAACCAATGAGGGGTCGGACAGCGGTCCAGTGGGCGCTTCCTTGGCAGCCTGGTAAAGGCGATTGGCTAGGATCCCGAAGTTGGGAATCCAATGCCTGAAATACCCTACCAGTTCCAGGAAGGACAAGATCTCTTCCACATCCTGAGGAGGCTGGAGAGTTTCAATGAAGCTTATTCTATCCGCCATGAGGTTTTTTGTAGTGGGTGTCAAGAGTATGCCTAGGTAGGTGACAGAAGGGGTGCAAAGCTGAGGCTTGGCCGGGGTAACCCGATAACCTCAGCCGGCAAGAAAATTTAAAAGTGTAGCAGTATCTGCAAGGGTGCTCTCCCAGGAGGGACTACATAGTAATAAGTCATCTACATATTGCAATAGTGTGCTGTGGGTAAGGGGACAGAGGCTACCACCCTGTGCCAGTGCCTGTCTGAAAAAATGGGGGCTATCTCGGAACCCTTGAGGCAAAACAGTCCAAGTCACCTGGGAAGAAATATGAGTGTCTGGATCTTCCCATGTAAAGGCAAACAGAAAGTGACAGTCAGGATGTAGGGGAATGGTGAAGAAGGCATCCTTTAGGTCAAGGACAGTAAAATGGGTGGTATCAGGGGGAATGCGTCAGAGAAGTGTATATAGGTTAGGAACAACTGGAAAGATGGGGACTATTGCCTCGTTGATGAGGCGTAGATCCTGCATGAGGCGGTAGGCCCTGGAGCTTTTCCATACAGGCAGGATAGGAGTATTGCATGGTGAGTTGGCAGGGACTAGAATGTGCTGCTGGAGCAGGCGCATAATGATGGGTTTTAGTCCCTGTCGGTGCTCAAAAGAGATGGGGGGCTGCGGACTGGAGTATGGTGCTGGGCAATGATCTGGATGGAGGTGTCCCACACCTTAGGGTTAATGGGGACCGGAAACGGGAGTAGGGTGTCAGCCTGGCGGGGTTTATCAGGCGAGAGGAGGGGAAAGAAGAACGCGAAGTGCGGGGAGGGGTTGGGCCGGAAGTGAACTGAGGCCCCTAGCTTGGAGAGGAGGTCTCGTCTTACACAAGGGGACTGGGCACGAAGGAACGATAAGGAATGATAAGAAATGAGTGCAAGAAGAGGGAGCCATCCAGGTGGCAAAACAGAGGAGGAGTCTGGCGGTAGGTGGAGGGAGTGCCGTCAATTCCCATGACCGTGACAGTGGAGGGGTGGCTAGGGCCACTGAAGGAAGGCAAAACAGAGTAGGTAGCCCCCATGTCCATAAGGAAGGATATGGACTTACCCGCTACCTGGAGCATAACTCTGGGCTCGGTGAGAGTAAGACGGGTTCCCGAGTCTGGGCCTCTTCAATCTTCGTTGTTGTCGAGGAGCTGGAAGACGCCTCCAGTACCTGGAAGGAGGGTCGTCACGTGGAGGGGTAGTGACTGTCTTCAGGTTGGGGCAGTCTGACTTCCAATGGCCTATCTGCCGACAGCTCAGACAGGGGCGAGTTGGCTCCTTAGGGTTGGGGCACCGCTTGGCCCAGTGGCCTTTGTTGCCGCACTTGAAGCAGGCACCAGGTGGCGCTCGGGGAGTACCTCCTCTCTGAGAGCTCCTGGAGCCAGCGGGCCTCAGGGCTGCTACCAAGGCCTGGGTTTGGAGTTGTACCTTCTGTTTTAGCCTGGCCTGTCGCTGGGCCTCAGCTGCTTCCTCCCTGGAGCTGTAGACCTTGAAGGCCAGTTTGACTAAATCCTGGATGGGAGTTTGAGGGCCGTCCTCCACCTTTTTAAATTTTTTCCGGATATCCGGAGCCGACTGAGAAATAAAGTACGTAGCCAAGACGGTTCCTCCTGCGGGGAAGGCAGGGTCAAGGCGGGCGTACTGAATGAGTGCCTCAGTCAGTCAGTTAAGAAAAACGGCCGGATTCTCATCTGAGCCTTGGACTACCTCCTTTAATTTATCAAAGTTGACTGACTTATTGGAGGCTGCCTGCATGCCAGCAAGAAGGCACTGGACCATCATGTCTCGGCGGCGGCGGCCTGCCTGCCCAACCTGGTAGTCCCAGTCGGGCTTGGCTGAGGGCACCGCCTCGGTGCCAACTGGCATGGCGGGGTCAGTTAAATGAACCTGGTCAGCATGCTACCTGGCTGCCGCTAGGATACGCTCCCCTTTCTCAGAGGACAGGGTTGAGGTCATAAGGACATGGAGATCATGCCAGGTGAGGTCATACGCTTGGCATAGGTATCTGAACTCTTTGATATACAGAGTGGGGTTGGCTGAGAAAGAGCCTACACGCTCTTCAGTCTTAGACAGGTCTGCCCGCGAAAACAACACATGGACCCGGACCACTCCTTTAGCGCCTGCCACTTCCCGCAAGGGGCAGAGGAGGTGGGTCCTGGACCGGGTATGGGCTGAGACAGGCGAGGAGGAGGAGGAGGTAGGAGAGACAGGGTCCGTCAGGTTTGGTGGGGACACAGGAGGAGTGGAGGGAAGGGGTGGCGCCTAGGAGGAGGGAGAAGTTGACCAGTCAGAGTAAGGGGGAGGTTGAGTGGGGGACCGAGGCGGGGTCAGGGAAAGAGTATCAGGGGTCTCAGAGAAAGAGGAGGAATCGTCCTTCTCCTTGCTTGAGGGAGTAGATTTCGCGAGCAAGACCTGGGCCAATGGGCCAACGAATATCGGACACAGAGGTCTGGGCGGGAGTGCAAATCCCAAAAGGCCTGAAGGTAGGGTACCTGGGACCATTTGCCTAGTCTCTTGCAGAAGTTGGTCAGATCTATGAGGATGTTAAAGTCTAGAGTGCCTTCTGCAGGCCACTGAGACTGATTATCTAATTTATACTGCGGCCATGCCACTGTGCAGAAGAAAATAAGCTGCTTTCCTTTTAGGTCTTGGCTGAGACCTAAAGTCTGGAAATTAGCCAAGAGGCACCCCAGAGGGGATTTTGGGTCTGGTTTGGACTGGGCAGCCCCCATGATCCTGAGGCGGGCAGTCCGGAGGCAATGGGAGTGTCCTCCCACTGACACCAGGAGTGTGGGGTATGGCGGCTTCCGGGGTGGTCGGATGTGGTCGGATGTCTCCTAGTCCCTGGTGCCGAGGTCACAAGTGAAGGAGGAGGGAAGCCCTGACAGGGCGGCGTTTTCGGACAGGGACTCCTGGAGCCTGCAGGCCGGGGGGAAACCTTACCCAGGAGTGATGGAACTGAGTCTTGGATTTGGAGAAACCACTCCCAGCTCAGAGAGGAGGTCCTGGTTCCCGGAGAGGAGAGCCTGCCCGGACAGGCAGAAGTCCGGGGAGGGGTCTCCTCCCGGTTTGGACACCAATGTAATGTAATGGGGAGCAGAGCAAGAGGACATGAGGCAGATGAGAACAGAGGTAGCCTTTATTGGGCTGGCGGTGGAGGTTCACCGGTCCCCTAGGGCGAGGGCTGAGGAAGTTGTGGGCGGGGCAGGTATCAGGGGCCTTTTATAGGGTGAGGTAGGCGGGGTCTGTAGGCTTCGGTTTCCTGAGTTAGGTTTGGATCTCTGAGGAATGAGGTGTCCAGGAGTTTGCGCAGAGTGGGGAGTTTTGGCGGGCTCAGGGTGCTTTTGGTGCTGAAAAGTCCTGGCAGGAAATCCCAGCCGGTAAAGTCCTCACAAGGGGCCGGCCATGTCAGGTGGTACCGCCATGTTGGGTCTAGGTCCCTGCCTAACATTACTCCTTCGCAGAGCACATCTCCCCATCTACACAAGCATTGTACCTAGGATGGGGGCTTTACTCCTGTTACTTTTGGGAACGTCCCACTCTATGGAGTAGCTGTACTTTAACCACTTTACTTTCTTAATAAACTTGCTTTTGCTTTGCACTGCAGACTCGCCCTGAATTCTTTCTTGCGTGAGATCCAAGAACCCTCTCTTGGGGTTTGGATGGGGACCCCTTTCCCGTAACAGGACCATCTCTAAAGTTTTGATATATATTCTGAACCCAACTTCCCCCTCCTCAGACTTATGTTTGTTCTTGAGGATCTCATCTTTGCAACAGACCCTCCAAAGCCTTGGAGAGAAACTCAGTGCTTCCTCACGGTATCTCCGCGCACCCACTCACCCCTACCACGTCAGAACACCCACTGAGTGACGGAATTAATGAATGAAGGAGCAGGGACTCGGGGTGGTTTCCCTTTCAGAACTTCAAGAATTCTCCCTTCTCCAAACGAAGCTGCTTTGCACCCTGGGCTCAAGCAAGGTAACCCATGCACACTTGCCTGCAACAGCACCAAGAACTGCAATTACCTGAGACTGTACCCCATCTACCCTCACTCCCCACTGCAGGGGAAACCCCAGGTCCTCCAAATCCCAGCGCAGTCTCCACCCACCCACGGTCATTCCGTCCAGACCATGCCCTTCTGCCCTGGCCCCCTCCCACCCTCCAGGGGCAGTTAAGTCCCCCGACATCTCTATGTTCTAAGGGTCGCGGAGCCACCCTTCCTGGCAAAGTGCTGAGCGGTCACAGCAGGGGCCAGGGGAGCAGAGGCATAGGGGCGTTCCCGGAGGAGCTGGGCTACTTGGGCACTGGGGAGGTGCCGCTAGCGGGGCCTCCAGGTCGCGCGGGGAGGGAGGGTCGGGAGGCCACGGGGGTCCTCGGCGAAGAGGGAGCCACAGGCACGGGGCGCGTCGCCGCGGCCCCCCTGGCCCAGGAGCGAGAGGTCGGGGAGCCTAGAGCCAGAGGGCGGCAGCGAGAGCTGGAGCCGCCTTCAAAGGACGCCCTCGCCTTCCCGCAGGCGCCGGCGCCCGGCCCAGTCCAAGCCAGCAGAGGGCGGTCCGCCGAGCTGAGCCCGGGGAGGGCTGGGCTGCCCAGCTGATCAGAGGCTTTCTCCCGGGTTGCGGGTTCTCTGGCCTGCGGCACCCTCCGGCGCCGGGACCACCCACCCACAAGCCCTGCCCGAAGGTGTGTGCAGCCAGGAAGGCGGGGCCTGGTGTCCTCAGGGCTCTGGCGCCAAGTTCAGAGCCGCGAGTTGGGCCCTTGGCGGTGGCGGCCGCGTTGGCATCTCCCTCTCTGCGCGCCGCCTGACAGCCTGGGAGAGAAGCGCCCTCAGGTGGGCCAAGACCTGGAGCAAGCGGGAGCGGCCAGCGAGGTCCATCTCATTTCCACTGCCTTTCCTCACGGTAGCGCTCTTGAGTCCTGACTTTGACTGTGGGGTCCTTCCCTTCCCTCTGTCGCCAGCTTCCTCCCGCATTCTCCCAGGTCCTCACTGAGTCCCATTCCCGTTCCTGTCCCCTGTCTTTCTGCCTCTTGTCTCCTTGTCCCATCCCGTTTCTTTCTCCTCTCATCTCTCTCTTTTTCTTGTGTCTGCTTTATTGGCTATTTCCCTGTCTTGTCTCTTTTCCCTCTCTCTCTCTTCTCACTCCCTTTTTCACTCTCCCTATCCTCCGCTCGCTTTTTGCAAGCAAGAATTCTCCCTTCAATTTAGTTTTTCACGTAGGGAGACATGTTGGGCTGCGGTTCTCTTCATCTACCCATCCCTCCGTTCATGACATATTGCTCCATTATCTTCTTGGGCTGGCTGCTAGGGTAAGAACCATGCATCAGACCCAGATCCTTTCTCCAATAGATTATATCCAAAGATCTGGACATGTAACATGTTCAGTGCCTTTTTCGGGGTAAAATACATAGATAATCAAATTATAAATCTCTTACTTTTCAGAGTTACCTGAAAGAAAACATGTGGTTTTAGAGTCACAGCTTGATTGCACTCTTGACCTTTTGCCTTTCACTAATAGGCACAGATATTGCAGGAGTCAGCTAAGCCTTGCAGAAACATTTAAGGGACACCAACACCTTCTGTGCAATGCCAGGTGCAGGGGAGGGAGGAGACAGGATACAGAGCTGGGTTGTGGCAAGACAGTGGGAGGCCAGGGCTTTCAACCTGAAACATTTGAGGGAGCCTGGAAATAAGAAAATAACAGTAAATTTCTAAAATATGTAGTTGCCAATGCCACTGATGTACAGAAATGAAGTTACCTAATTACTCCTGAGAGAGACATTAGATATTTTATAACAATAATTGTAGGCTGGGCATGGTGGCTCACGCCTGTAATCCCAGCACTTTGGGAGGCCGAGGAGGGTGGATTACGAGGTCAGGAGATAGAAACCATCCTCACTAACATGGTGAAACCCCGTCTCTACTAAAAACACAAAAAAATTAGCCAGGCATGGTGGCGGGTGCCTGTTGTCCCAGCTACTCAGGAGGCTGAGGCAGGAGAATGGTGTGAACCCAGAAGGCGGAGCTTGCAGTGATTGGAGATAGCGCCACAGCACTCCAGCCTGGGCGACAGAGCGAGACTCCATCTCAAAAAAACAAAACAATAATTCTGGCATTTGAAATTAATGTTTTTGTGTACATTAGGTAGGAGGACCAAGATAAAAATATTTTACATTAATGTTAAAAATTGTCTTAGCTGCATACTAAATGAAAAACTCTAGAAAAGCAAGTCAGATTCATTTATGAGGGATAAAATAGAAGAATTACATATGAAGGCATTTTTTTGCTGCTTCTTGTTAAAAAATGTAATCTTGTCAGATGTGATTTCATTTTTAATGAGTTTTTATGATATATGTGTCTGTATATTCAAACACAAACTCTACATATATTTGTGTGTATGTGTGTGTGTGTATATATATATATCTCATTAATAACCAGCTAAAGCTTGAAGTTGGCATTCTTAGAAATAATTTAACCTGATGCTATAGTTTGTTGTGATCGTTGAGCTAATTTAACTTTTCAGTTGATGCAGAAAAGGAAATATGGTCATAGAGAAATCACACAGAAATGAATAGAGATTAAATATTATGGAAGTGGATTGCAGTGTGTTTAATGAAAGAATTTGCTCATTTTAGATCAAAGAGTGTTGGACAAAATCATAGGTCTGTGCATTGAACTTCGATTTATGAGACTTTTTCTGGAATAAAGAGTTAAATTCCCTTTTAAATCATCTAACCACTGACCTCCGACACATCAGAATTCTAGGGAAAGGGGTAAAAGACATGCTTTTCAAATGATTTTAATCATCGTATCTGCTTGGTTTAGTGGATTTCTTTTCAGAAATTCAGTGGGTGGCACATTTTGTAAAGATTTAATCACATCTTTTTTTTTTTTTAACTACAAGGTTAAGTCTTGGGTTTCAGTACTTTTATCCTAGGATGATGCTATTGTAGGAACCTGGGAAGGTTGGAAGGTGTAGCTGAAGTAAAATCACGGACTCTTCCCTTGAAGGCTGCCAGTGGAATGGGGACCACCATCTTGGGCTCCACCTTTATTCTCTAATTGTATTAGGAAGAGTGCTGCTGTTCCTATGGTCTTGCTACCTGGCATGCACAGAGCCCTGCTGAGTCCTGTCAGTGAGCCCCTGAAGTGAAGATCACCGTTCCTGTTTTACTTATCAGGAGACGGAGGCCTAGAGTGGTTTCCTGAGGTCAGGCAGGTAGCAAGTGGCAGGCTGACTTAGAATACAAGTTATGCCCTGGAACCAGAGTAAGGAGAGCTAACTCAGTCCCATTATGTGACTTCCATGTTACTGCAGCCTCAGCACATATTATGTCTGATATATCACTCCACACAGCACCACTCATTGCCTGTTGGCGTTGTTGGGTCATAGGCAATGAGTACTGCTGTTGCTCCCTGTTCTGTGTCCTGGCCATCTTCAGCCATGTCCATGGCAGACTCTCAATCCGCACAGCAGGGCCCCTTGAAGCACCGGATCTGCCTTCTGCTTTCACTGGCCCTGCTTCTGCACAGTCTTGGGCATCTGAGTGGGTGATGGGATCGCATCCACCCCTATGAGGGTCCATGTGGCCAAGTTGTGTTGTACTAGGGCTGCCCTCACTGCAGGACTGGGGGCTGCCTTATCCTGGGACTCCTGCACTTGGCTTTCCTGGAATACAGCAGGCATTGCTGCTAGAGGGGTCCAGGCATAGCTGGCCATGGAGCCCATAGGGGCTGGCCAGGAAGTGCTCATCTCCCCAGCACCACCAGCCAGCCTCTGGGAAAGCCTGGATCACCTTCAGTGTTTAGTTTCCTCAATATGCCAGAGCCAGGAGGATAACAGGTATATTCCCTTTCTTAGGAAACCCCAGGACCTTATAAGCCATCAGCAGAAGAGGCCCATAAGTGATTGTCCTCTGGAATCTTCCAAAAGGGTCTGAGAAGCTTCTCCAGAGACTGGGGACACCAAAGGATTGGAAGACAGGAGGTATTTTCTGCTCTTGTGTGTTTTAGCTGAAGAGAAAGGTAGATGCAGCAAAGCACTGCATGGGGGGTCGGGGGTATACGGTATCTTTGAATAAGATCTGGTGCCTGACCTGCAGCTCAGAACAGCTGGAGGCTGGCCAGTTGGCTTGGGATGGGTGCCTTCAGACATCTTAGGAAAAAGAGATTATCCAGCTGTTTGCCAAGAGTTCTTTCTTCTGTAGTTGGAGCGGGAAGAAGAAAAATGCCCAGGCCGTTTGGTCATTCATTAAACATTGTTGGTCGCTGGTCCCTGAGAGCTCAGGAGTGATGGGAAGGCCTCCATGGAGTGGACTCTATCCCTTTGCACTCAGTGTGATAAGAACTGATCCCCCTAACATTTACTGAGCCAGGCTCCTTAGCACTTTGATTATACTAATCAATCTAATCTTTCCAACAATCCAGTGAAGAGAGAGCCAAGGTGACCCTCTTTACAGGTGAGAAAGCAGAGACATGGCGATGATCCACACTTTGCCCAAGGTCACAGGTTGGATACAGCAAAGCTGGATTGGAGTCTCGGTTACCTGGAACAACCTGGTTAAGGTATAATGTGGGAGAATGTGGCCAGTGGTTCCCAGATGAGTGAATGATCAGTACGCAGTCAGGGCCCAGGGGATAGGTGATAAACCAAGAACCACGAGCTTTTAACATGGTGGGGCTGGTGAGGCTTCATCTCCCAGGCTGCAACACCTGCTGAGTTGGGTAATAGCGGACCCCGATTTGTGGCCCATGTGGGTTGGGAGCCTTGGGGAGGTGTGCTCTGTGTTGGTGGGGAAGGCGCGGCATGGTTAGATCCCCTGTAGACTTGGGGAGCTCAGTTTCAGAAAGTTTCAAAGATCATCACTTGATTTCCTGTGATCTAGGGGCTCTCAAAGCAGTGGGGGAGACCTGGAATTAAATCTGGTTCTTCCAAGTAGGAAGGATGTGGGGTGGTAATGAGAGATGTCTGTGTGGTTCAGAGGGAGGTCTTGCTGAGGTCAGAGGGACGAGAGCCAAGAGGAGCCCTTCCCAGGACACTCACAATGACAGAGTGACGAGGGTCAGTAAAGAGTGTCAGGGGGCAAGAGCCCAGGCGTGAACTAAGCCTAATGAGGAGAGCTGACGACCACAAAGCATCTTTTCATATCATGTTCAGAGCAAGGAGAACAAGGGCTTCATAGATCCATCGCCGTCTAGGGCAGCTGGTGTCTGTGAAGGGGAGGAAGGTGCAGCTGCACTGTGCCCACAGTGGTCTGGACAGAGGAGGATAAGGGCGGAGGCAGGTCCCCGGAGGAAAGCAGGAGCCAGGCAGCGCTGGGCTGCTGTGTGTGCTCAGGGCCCTGACGCAGAGAATGCCCTGGCCAGGGCATGGTGTGATCTGGAATGAGATCCCCCATCTGAGGTGCTGTGGGAGAGGCATTGGGGATGAAGCCTGGAGGTGGGTGAGACTCAAATCTGATGTTAACCCTGGGAATGATCCTAGAGTAAGCAGAAGGCTGTGAGTCTGTAGGCAAGGGAGAGATGGACATGAGGGGAAGCCAAACTCATGTCATTTTCCACCTTGAGGGACTTTGATCTGGCCCTTGTTCTGTTGGGGTTCTGGAGGACATCCTGTGCCCTGGCCTCTCTGACCTTACTCCATGTGGTGCTGATGCAGCGACAGCAGTGACCCTCGTGGGTCCTGGGTGGGATGAAAGGTCCCCAGATAGTTCCTAATTTTCTCTCCTCCTTTTCTTTCTTGTTACTATTATTATGTCTCCCCTTCCTTTTTTCATCTTCCCTCTCTTTCTCATCATTATGTATTTGTCTTCTCCTTTGCTCCCTCCTCCTCCTCCTCATTCTTCTTACTCAGATCTGGATGTTAGCATTGGAGTGTGAAGCTGGGTGGGGTACCTAAACCAGCAGTTGGCAGTGACCAAATCCACGATGGTCTCTAAAAGCTGGGATGCTGCCCTGAGTTTATCAGGATGACATTTGGCAGGTTGAAGATAAATTCACTTGGATCAAGACCTCATGTGGTTGTTGTGAAAATTAAATAAAATAAGGTGTAGGAGCATCTGTCATGTACACACTTACGTAGTCAAAAAATGGTAAGTCTTAATCTTATACCGTGAAGCATCCTGACAGCAAATGTTCTGTCCTGCTGTGAGACCTTGTGTCCCCATTTTTAGTGCTGAGAAGAGGGTTGTCACATCCTAACTCAGGGCATGCTGGACAGTTCTCCTGTTCAGGGCGGCATGGCTGTGGTTGGCAAACTTTGTCTCAGCCATGAAGGCAGCCCAGCGGGGCGCCTGCAGAGGTGGTACCGGGGGCAGCAGGACCAGAAGGATGACACAGGCAGGCTGCTGTACCTAGGAACAATACTAGCTATACTGGGGAGATGTGTGTGCACGTGTGTGTGTGTGTGTGTGTGTGAAAAAGAGTAAGCATGAGTTTGCAAGCCTGTGTAAGGGAGTGCATGTGTGTATTTGAGTATGTGTGATTGCATGTGTGTGTGAATGTATATGCATGTGTGTAAATTTGTGTGTGTGTGGGTGACTTTATGTGTCTCTGAGTATATGTATAGGTGTGTGTATGTGTGAGTGCATGTGTGTCACTGTGTGTGTGTCTGTATATGTGACTGTATGTGTGAGTGTATGTGTGTGAGTGTGTATGTCTCTCTGTGGGAGCTCATGGAAGCTCAGCAATGGGGCTTCAAGCAGGACCAGTTTTTCCTGGAGAAAGGGGGAGAACTGGCTTCATCCAACTAGTCGTACATGTGTAGGTCTGGGATGGACTGGAGAGACAACTTAGCCCGAGCCCATTTTACAGATGGAAAGCTGAGGCTCAGAGAGGTTGAGCGCTTTGCTCAGGGTCATTGAGAGGAGTGACGTTTCTGTATCTGCCTCTTTGGGAGACAGTGGCTGAAATTCATCTCTGATGTGAGGCACCCCCTCTGAGGAATCTGCTCAGAAAGAGCATGGGAGCTACAGCATGTGGTTTGCATCCTCTCCATGCAACAAAGGGCCTGCACTTCCAGCAGTCACAGGGTAGTCTGCAGGGCAGGGCAGAGATGTTCCACAGAAGCTGGTCAAAAGCTGGAATATCATTAAAGATCACAATACACCACAACATCAGGTTCAATTATTTCTAAGGAGGCAAAGCAACTACATATTTTAGAAATTTACTGTTTATTTCTCATTTCCAGTCAGTCTCACCCAAAGGTTTCAAGTGCAAAGCCCTGGCCTTCCACCGTCTTCCCATAACCCAGGTCTGTATCCTGTCCCTTCCCTCCCCTGCACCTGGCATTGCACAGAAGGTGTGGGTGGCAATGTCCCCTAAAAGCTTCTGCAAGGCTTAGCTTCCTGCTGTGCTGTCTGTACCTCTGTGAGTAAAGGCAAAATGTCAAGAAAAGCATTCAATTGTCTTGTATCTAAAACCAGGTATTTTCTTTCAGGTGACCCTGAAAATTCAGAGATTCATAATTTGATCATCTATGTATTTTTTCCCAGGAAAGGCACTGAACAGGTTACATGTGCAGATCTTTGGATATAATCTATTGGAGAAAGGATCTGGGCTGACGACACCAGCATCTAGCACAAGCCCTGGATGAGAATAATGGGGCACTACAAGATGAACAGAGAGAGGGATTGGTGGTGGGCGGAGGGAAGGGATGCAAACAATTATGGCCAAGAAGTCACCTTAGGGAAAAAACCTAAGAAGAATTTTGGCTTGCAAAAGAGAAGGAAGCCGATAGGAAGAGTGGAAGAGGGCGTGAGGGGAGAGGCTGAAAGAGAGATAGAGGGAAAAAGGACAAAGGAGGACAGGAAAATAGCCAATAAGGCAGACACGAGAAAAAGGCAGAGATGAGAGAGAAACAGGAGAGGACAAGGAGACAAGAAGCAGAGAGGCAAGGGACAGGGACAGCAATGGAACTCAGAGAGCACATGGGAGAGAGCTGGAGGAAGCTGACAGAAGGAAGGGAAGAACACGCCCCGCCGCCGTCAAAGGCAGGACTCAAGAACGCTGCCCTTCGTGGAAGTGAGATGGGCCCCGCTGCCTGCGCCTGCTTGCACTCAGTCTTGGCCGACCTGAGCGCGCGTCTCTCCCGGGCTCTCAGGCGGCGCACAGGGAGGAGGTGCAGACTCGGCCGCCACCACCCAGCCCAGCGCGCGGCTCTGAACTTGGCGCCAGCGCCCTGAGGACACCAAGCCCCGCCTTCCTGGCTGCACCCGCCTTCCGGGCGGGGCTTGCAGTTGGGCGGCCCCGGCGGGGAGGGCGCCGCGGGCCAAAGAAACCACAACCCTGGAGAAAGCTCCCTGCTGATCCGCCGGGCGGCCCGGCTCTCCCCCAGCTCGGCTCCCCGGAGCCGCCCCCAGCTGGCTCGGACCAGGACCGGCCCTGCAGGAGGGCGAGGGCGTCCTTTGGAAGCGGTGCCCGCTCTCGCTGCCGCCCTCTGACCCTGGGCGCCCGGACCTCTGGCTCCTGGGCCTGCCGGACCTCAGGGATAGGCGAGGGCTACGCCCGGTGCCTGCGGCTCCATCAGCGCTGTGGACCCCCGCGGCCTGCCGGCCCTCCTTACCTCACTGAGGCGGGAGAATCGCTTGAACCCGGGAGGCGGAGGTTGCGGTGAGCCGAGACGCGCCATTGCACTCCAGCCTGGGCAACAAGAGCGGCCTGGCGGCCCCGCTAGCGGCACCTCCCCCGCATCCGAAACGCTCAGCTCCTCCCGGGAACGCCCGCGGCCTTCACTGCCCAGGCCCCAGCTGTGACCCGCAGGAAGGCGGGCTCGGCGACCCCAGAACATAGAGGTGTCTGGGAAGTTAGCTGTTCCCGGAGTACGGTGGGAGGGGGCCAGGGTAGAAAATGACAGTTCAAGTGCCTTAAAATTAAGAACTTAGGCATTGTTTAAAAAACAATAAATGGAGTGAAAAAAATCAAGCCACACCGTAAAAGAAGATATTTGCAGCAAGTGATAAAGGATTAATATCCAGAATATATAAAGACTGTTATTGAATCAATGTGAAAGAGAAAAACACCTAAAGCAAAGAATGGTGAACACCTAAAGCAAAGACATCTAAAGCCAAGACATCTAAAGCCGTCACTAGGCACTTCAAAGAGGAACCATGAACGACCAAAATGAAGTGAGTAGGTGACCAGTTCCCATTAGTAATTAGGAAATTGCAAAGTAAGACCACAAAGAGGGTTGTGAGGGTGGCTCACACCTCTCATCTCAGCGTTTGGGAGTCCAAGGCCAGAGGATCCCTTGAGGCCAGGAGTTGGAGACTAGTCTGGGAAACACAGCAAGACCCTGTCTCTACAAAAAATAAAAATAAATAAAAAAGTAAATCACAAGGAGATGACTAACCACCAGGCAAAAATGTTAAAGTATGCTAATATCAACTGTTAAGAGGAATATGAAGCAAGATAGCTCAAATACGCTTTTGAAGGAAACATACCAGGCTTCATTCATTCTGAAATACCCCTTATTTAAGATACTCCATTATATTAAATACAATTCCAAAACAAAAAAACTCAAATAACAAAAAACCAGACTAACCCAATACTTTTTATCACTTGTAATTTGTATGTTACACATATTGAAAGATATGTTTTAGACTTATTAGAGAAGGATTTTTAATCGTATATCACTCTTGTGCATACAAAATAAAATGGATTAAAATGTTTCTTATTTTATTTATTCATTTATTTTTTGAGACGGAGTTTCGCTCTGTCGCCCAGGCTGGAGTGCAGCAGCGCGATCTTGGCTCACCGCAAGCGCCGCCTCCCAGGGGGCCATTCTCCTGCCGCAGCCTCCTGAGTAGCTGGGACTACAGGCTCCAGCCACCACACTCGCTAATTTTTTTGTATTTTTAGTAGAGACAGGGTTTCCCCATGTTGGCCAGGCTGGTCTCGAATGCCCGACCTCAGGTGATCCACCTGCCTTGGCCTCCCAAAGTGCTGGGATTACAGGTGTGAGCCACCACGCCCAGCCCCTACTGCAGTTTTGACACTGGGATGTGAACTCGTCCAAACTCCTGCCCTAGAGAGGGGGCCTGTGTTCCTCCCATTGACTCTTGGCAGCTGTGACTGCTTGGACCAATAGAGTACAGTGGAAGTGACACTGTGTGACTTCCAAAGTGATGTCATAACAAGTTCTACAATTTCTGCCGTGCTCACTGAAAACACTCTTGGAACTCTGGGCCACCTGTAAAAGCCCAAGCACCCTGAAGGTACCATGCTGGGAGGAAGCCCAGGTCACACGGGGAGGTTACATGCAGGGTCTCCATTCACAGTTCCAGCTGAGCCCAGCTTTTGAGCCCTCCTGCCCAGGAGCCACACTTGTGAGTGGAGCAGCCTCCAGATAATTCCAGTGCCCAATCCTTCAAGTCATGCGGGCTGCTCAAGCCTTCCCATCTGGGGCCCCAGACATGAGGAAGCCCTCCCTACTCTGCCCTGAGTGCCTGATCATCAGAACCTGTGAGCGTAATAAAATGAGCCTGTTGTGTGTCTCTAAATGTAGGTGGTCTGTTACACAGCAGTAGAGAACTGGAATGTCCCTCACTCACAAGGACTCTGGCAACACCGCAGTTTCCATCTCCTTCCAGATCTGCCATCTCCTGGGGGACTTAAGTGTCATACAAATAACCTCCCATTGCCAACACTCTGGCCTCCCAGTCCTTGACCTCCTCACCCACAACAATGTCCTCACCTGTCACCTGGGCTAACTCTTCCAGTGAACAAATGGCAGGGTCTAGTGGTTTTAAGGGACACTGTGAGGGCTGTTATAAGGGAAATGGAGGCTTCCTCTTGTAGCCCTTCCAAAGGTCCTGTGCCTCCCCTCTGGTGTTGTCAATATGCAGGATATTGGGAAGAGCTGCAGGTCACAAAGTCACCATGTCAACCTTCCTGTCAACCATAAAGGAATTCTGTCCCCAGGGTGGGGGAAGGGCCAGGCAGGTAGCTGGAGGCAAGTCTCCCAGAGCCAGCTGCTGACCCTAGTCCCTGCGATCTGGGGAGGTACCTGGTGAAGGGCCGCAGTGTGCACTGGTGAAAGGGCAGGAGGAGGGGTGTGGCCCTTGGGCATAAGGGGAGGCACCAGAGAAGGTGGCCAGAGGTGGTCTGTGCTCAGCCTATCTGGGCCCTGGCACAGGCACCCGAGTGAGGTGGGGTCACAGGGACGGCCAGATAATGAGGAGCCATGGCCGCTGGGGGCTCTGCTTCCTGCTCTTCCTGCTGCTGCTTCCTCCACCGCTTTTTAGAGCAGGAAGCCTTCGGTACCATGGACCTGGCTGGAGAATGTTTCAACGCCTGGCCCTGGGCTCCAGGAGGGCCCACCACCGCCATGGCCCAGGATGGAGGCAGCACTTGCGCCAAGGGCAAGCAGGTCACAGATGCCAGGGCTCATTTGACCTCTACTTCATCTTGGACAAGTGAGTGTCCCTTCCAGCTCTGGCCCTGGGTCACCCTCAGGAGCCACCACCTCTTTTTCACTAGGGACAGGACGCCACTCAAAGAGATGCAAGCTTCTGTCGCAGAAGCAGGGCCAGCCCTTTAGTCAGACCAGACCTAGGCCTCCTGATCTTCTGAGGCACAAAGAATGCCATGGCTGCCTTTTCCCTGGTGCTTCATCTCCTGGATGAGGAAAAAAGCCACCAAAAGGGTTCTGGACGATCCCCTATCCCCCCATCAGCTGGGTCAGCATCCTCATCCTCAGGCTGCTGCAACAGCTGATTGCTCAGACCTGCTTCTCAGCAGTTCTCAGAAGCACACTGTGGATGTTTGGAGTTTTTGAGTTGTTTTGCTTGTTTGTTTTTCATGCAAATAACTTCTATTTTACTGGGCCCCAGAGAGATTGCTTTGTTGCCTGTGTTGGTCATTCTAATGTCACTGCTTAGAGAAGGCCTTTGGTTGGCTACTTCTAAGTGCTGCTTCTACAACTTGGAGAGCCACGTGATAGTTCCTGCACTTTCAGGAACAGTTGGGTCTGTTTCAGGGTGGCCCTGGGGAAACTGGGCTGTGTATTAGGCACCTTCTGGCTCACCAGGAAGGAAAGAGGCAATGTTCAGCTTTGGAGAGATTGCCTTGGTTCCCTTTCGCACTCCTCCTGCTAGGTGGGAATACTCTGTGTGCTTATTCAGTAGCAGCAGTGGTGCAGTCTTCAGGAGAGCAAGCGCTTTCTGGTCTCCAGAGCCCTTTCCCTGCACTCCTGGCACCTCACCACAATCCTGGGCTGTGAGTAGTGCAGGTATTTTTCTATCTGGTTCCTGGACAAGGGCGGCTCCTGGAGGTTGGGGAAGCATCCAGAGACAGCTGGTGTGACAAGACTCCGGCTTCCTGTGCTGCACTCTTTCCAGCATCGCAGGTTGAAGTTCCTCTGAATTTTCTCATTCCCCCAGATACTGATGCCTAGGGGACGTACACCCCAGCCCACCAATTCCTATGGTTTGTAACTGCTCTGCTACTCTTGGGGAAGGAGCAACTCCGTTCTGGAGACAGGCAGACTCCACTCACTAGCCACATAGTCTTGGGCGAGTTGCTTCGTCATTCTGTGTCTTCGTGTCTCCCATCTGTAAAAAGGGTATCTTCATTTTCACCTTGCCAAGTGTGATGAGGATGAAGGGAGAATTTGCAGGTCAGAGGCAATGACAGAGGATGGGGATGAAGTGACCTGCCAGGAAAGGCAGAGTCACAGGCTGGAAACTCATAGGAAATGCAGAGGCCCTGATGCAATCCCAGACAGACTGGATGAGGGGGAATGCAGAGGGAGTGCCTAGAATGGATGTAAAGGGAGCAG